TTATCTTTTATTCCTCTCTAGAGACTATAATTTTTACCAGCACAGAGTTAGCCTTTTCCTTTTCCTTGCTAGTAATGTTCCCGGATGTGCCTGGGTTTTCTGAGTCACAGTGAATCCCGGATGGCTTCCATTTCAAATAGTAACAAGATACTATTTTGTTTCTCCAAGGTTTCCTTTTACTGAGGTCAGGGAGGAAGGTTCTTTGGGTAATGCAAAGTTACCAGATGGTGGTAGTTGCTAGAATGGAAGACCCTTGGTTCCCACTTTGTGGCAGTGTCCTAAATATCCTCTTCCTGTGAGTATTCTGCTCTGCTATTGCACACCCCCTCGTCACGTGGATGTACATTTACCACAGGTCTTTATCCTGTCCTCCCCCAGAAGACAAAGCAAACAGAGGTACATGAAGCTATCTTATGCAGTAAATGTGAAATTTGAAAATTGCTACGCAAGTATTGTATAAAAAAACAAGTCTGTAAACAAATTTCTTATGTAAACATACAGGGGAATAAAGACTTTTACCTGTTCAAACAGGACCATTGATGTTCTGAGATATAAATAAACTTAAAATAGCTGCTGTTTTCCTGAGCTGAAAACTCACTTTTACAAAAAGGATTGAAACACATTGTTTAGTGACTGTAAGTACCTGTGCTCCAGGGAAGTGCGGACACGGGTGAGAGACATGCTGAGGACATTTTAATGGGTCATGGCTACCCTACCTTCTTCACCTTGTGACCAGGGAGAATAAAACCCGTGGGAGCCTGCATGTGATATGACCAGGCACGGGCTTGTAAAACAGGGCACAGATTTGCAGCTCTCCTCTTCTAATTTAATCTTTGATGCACCCAGGCCAATTTAATTAAACATGTTATGTTGGCAACAGCAGTCTTATGCCCAGGGAGAAATCTCTCTCATTTAATTGCTCCACTGGCTTGAGAGGCACAGCGTCACCAGCCAGGGTTGGCTCCCATCAGATCCCTTATTCCCCAGTCGTGGGGTTTAATGCAACTGCACAGCATATGGTAGAACCAAATGCTTAATTTTATCATCTAAGCCAAAAGGTCATGGAAATTGTTAATTTGATGTACATCTCCTGATTCCCTGTTTTGGCTCCAAGAGTGTGGATTTCAGTTGGTGCTGCATTTCTCAAGTTCTTAGGAAGGGTTATTTTGCTTCCTACTTGCTAACGATGTGAGAAGGTTTCTCAATACTCCATGTTTTCGTTTTCAGTTTTTGGCAAGAAATATGTCTTTGAGACTCCTTGTAACTGTTACTTCAATTTATAATATAGGGGAGAGTAAAAATTCTGGCTGTGCATGATATATTGCACTAAGGAATATCCAGCCTGAAATTTAAGTCTTCAGTTTTGATGTTCTAGAAAGCACTCTGATGACCCTCGTTATGTCCATCATATAAAATTTCCAGGGTTAACCTATCCCAAATCACTCAGCACTTTTCGTTGCTTCGAAAGTTAGTAGGGAGTTAGTGAAGTTGCCAAGTCATCCCTTTTGGGGACTTTTTTCCTACTCTCTGAAGCACGTGAGCTCTTACTGAAATCTGTATAATTTGGAGCCTCAAAAATGGAAGGGCCGGCCGAGTGGCTCAGTTGGTTAAGAGCTCGCTCACGAGTTTGAGCTCTGAGCAACAGCGGTTCAAGTCCTGGCCCGAGCTGAGCAGCCGCTGAGCTGCCACAGGTGGCAGAATGGCTCAGCTAAAAAAAAAAAAAAAAAAAAAAAAAATGGAGTTACCCCTAGTGGACGTGTCAGAAAAGGCACTTAACCTTAACCTGGCCCACAGTTCTACATCAGAGCAAGAAAAAGAAGTGCGTTGATTTCTTGTTTAATTTAATGTGCTAAACCAAAATAAAAAGAGACATGACCCAGTTTGGGGGATTTAGAAAAATGCCTTCATGATAAGAAAAATAGCTTCATGATAAGAAAGACCCTTTTGCAGACTTGCAGACTGTGAGGCCAGGTCCTGGGCTGAAGGCTCCCCCCCCCCCCCAGAAGCAGCTGGCTCTGGTCACAGGGCATCTGCTGTGCATGCCTTTGGTTACCAAAGGAACTGGGCGCCAAAGCACAAGGTTAAATTAGTGTAAATCCTTTATTGCTCATTGGCAGGCTGCTCCAGACACGTTTTCCTGATAATACAAGGCTGTCTTCATATACAAGGACTGTTCACCCTGAAGACATGCGCTTTCCCAACAAGAACACACTCATGTTTCAAAAAAAAAAAGACCACTGACTTCCGACAAGATTTAATATCTGTCTTCTGTTTACAGTTATTGAGAATCTCTCCTTCTCTTGACTCCTCTGTTTCTTGTGGAGCCACCCCCCAAAATTCCCTGAGGGAATGTGGATGCCTGTGCTTTTCCATAGCTACCGGCATTTCTTTGGTCTCCAGAGTGCCAGGCTAGGAGACTTGCAAAGGGTGGTTACTCTCTGCCTCCATCACACTGTACCTCTTCTAAAAAGGAATGGGCAAGTTGAGAGACTTGGCCTTCTCAGGAAGATTTTTTACATGTATTTTTCCAGTCCTATAAATAGATTCACGCTGAAAGAGATATGAAGTAGGTCTGGCTTTGTTTTGAAGGACAAGAGTCTAGTTTTCCCTTCAAACTCGATGTTGTAGTATTTTTTGTGACTGTGAATTTTATAAGTTGTAAGTTACTCACCATTACGCACCATGGAGGGCATAGAATGCTCTGAGTTGGCAAGCTTCCAGTTGACTTGACCAAGAACCCACTTTTTAACAGAAGGAATTTTGATAAGTTAGGCATGTTTTCCATCCTGCCCAACTCTGGATATGGGTACCCCTGCTGGGTACTTGACAGTTTTCAAAATGTAACACTAGCACTGCAGGCATCCAAAGTGCCCCAGATTCTATAGGTAGCTGCTTTTTGACAATCCCTGCACACAAATTGATTTCACTGAAACCCATTTAAATTTCCCATAAACACTAACTCCAATCAAACTATTGTTCATTTCCTTTATTGATCTATATAATGCCAGATTTGGTCATTGACTTAACTAAATTTACCTTTTTTTTTCCCTCCAAGAGATCTTTTGCTCATCCGCAGAACCAGCTTAATAACATCAACTTCAGGGTAGCTTTGGAAGATGAGAAATTGTGCCTTAGTTTTAGCAACTGAGACCTTTGTCCTACAGATCTATGTTAGAAAGTGGCTTAAGGAGTTTGGGGGGACTTTTACACCACTCTGCTTGGTAAATCTTATTTTGGAAAACATCTCTTCCCCCTTTCATTTGAATTTCTTCCTGGAAGTCATCATCTGGGAATCACTGACAGATCTAATATCAACATACTTACCTGGAGGTTAGGATTATGTCTTTCCAGATTGCAAGGGATCAGGTATTTTGTTTATTTCCTATCAACCAATGCTTGCGTATCACCATGCAGGTACACATATTCCAGTTGTAATGCAAGGAAAAATTTATCCTCTTCAAATCATATTCTTCAAATACTATTCAGAAAGCCATTTGGCACCAGTACAGAATTGAACTTAAAGACCCTAATTTGGAATTCACTGAATGCATTCAAATGTTAGAAAGGGAGATAAAAATGGGGGGGAAACCCACCTTTTTTGTTTCTGGAAACAATATTTAAGGTCAGAGCTATTTAAGAAGAAGCACTGCTAAAAAGTTGTAGGATTCAGAAAAGCATAGTATTTTTGTACATATCTCCTAAAATGTTCAGCTCTCTACATCTCTTTACAATGTAATGTCTCCTAAGTGACTGGTTTCCCAATAAACTGATTTTGATGCTGCTTCTGCTGTGTTCTGTGTGCTTAATTCAAGCCAAAACTTGAACGGGATAATTATTAGCAGAAGTTTCTACAAGCTAATGGTTTGCATAGAAGGGGAGAGGGTAATGTGGGGAGGGGACGATTGAATTATCTCTGTACAGAGGTTCCAAGTCATCTAGAAAATCCAAATCATTGTACCAAATGTTCTTATCCTGGTGGGTTGGGAAACCCATGATGAAATGATACATTTACCCCCAACCACCCTTTCTCTGGATTCTTCTTGCTTAGTTACATATGCCTTTTTCCTGCCCTCTTGCTAACATGTGCCCAATGACATACTTCTAACCTGCTAATATTTCTTGGAAGGTAAGCTGTCTTGCATTCTGATAATTGTCTATTTGATTTTAAAAGCCAGAGCACCCTGAGGCACCTCTACCTAGATAGAAATAGACTAGTCTATTAGTTTGCAAAATACTTGTGTAATTTCCCATGCATTTTACTCCTTCTCCTTCAAGAACTTTATGATGGATTCATTTAAGCAGAGGAGATCTTTGCTAAACTTAGAAGACTGAAAGAAAAATGCCAGGGCAGCTCCAGCCAAAGGTGATTTATTTAATATGATTTTGATGATGTCTCCTCCCCTGAGAAAGTGCCTTCAGTACTCGCATTGGAGCACTGTCGTGCTCTTGGAGTGGTGCTTACGATGTAAATCATCAAGTAAACCATTTATCAAGCAAGCCACGTCCTGCTACTTTTCAGGGGTAAGGAGTTGGGGGCTTCCTTAGATACTGGCAGTGTGGAGCAGACGACCACATGTCCAATGCTGAACTGAATTTGTCCCCAGACAGTATTTCTGCATAATCCAGAACCATCATGGCATATGTGGAGATGAGTGACTGGGTTTGCTTTCATTCCATCATGAGCCACTGCCAGGCAGCACAGGAGTCAGTGCCTAGCCCTCGAGGAGGAGCTGCGTAGTTCTGCTCAATGTCTGTGTGCCTAACACCATCCCCTGTCCTGCACATCGTGCTTCTCATGCTCTAAAATGTGAAACCGTGATTGGTTGTGTTCCAGTTTGTGTGCAGTTTCCTTGCCTGACGTTTGTTTTTCTGTTTTTCCTTTTCCATTTCCAACATCTATTATTTGGTCCCACAATATTTCTGCCGCGGGTTGACCGTTAAATGTGTCAAGGAGAGTCGAACGGACCTGTGCATTAATTCTGCATTTTGTGCTTTTCCAGGTCTCCAGAGAGAGCCCAACCCCTGTCCTGTAATAACTGTAGAGCACTTTAAAGAATCAGCGGGTGTTAAAGGCCTTCCCCTGTATCCAGACCCCTCCAGAATACCTGACATGAAAACCCAGAACAATTTAGAATCTGACTACTTGGCCCGGGATGGCCCCTCAAGCAACAGCTCGTTCCACAGCAGTGAAGAGGAAGGGACGGACCTCGAGGGCGACATGCTAGACTGCAGTGGGTCTCGACCTCTCCTCATGGAATCTGAAGAAGAGGACGAAAGCTGCAAGCCTCCACAGGGCAAGCTGGGAGGGGCCATTCCATTCACGCAGCCTGAAGTCCCTACGGAGCAAGCAACGGCAGGGCAGGGTGGAAGAAAACATCAGTTTCAAGTCCTCACACAACCAACCACTGATGGTCTCGGGGAGCCAGACGTTTTTGCCACAGCCCCCTTCAGGAGCTCAAGGGTTCCAGCTGATGACATGGACATTTTCTCCAAAGCCCCATTTGTCTCCAAGGGCAGTGTGGCTCCTTCCCAGCCAGAGGACGTGTTCTTGAGAGCTCCTTTTACCAAGAAGAAAAGTATGGAGGAGTTAACAGTCGCCCAGAGTACCTCCCAGGAGTTGCCTGCGCAGGCCAGTGTCCTCAGCCAGATAGAGGATGCCGCTGTGCTCTCGGCCCTCGACAGAGCAGTGTACGCCTCTGTCCGATCTCAGTATTCCATGGCTGGCTTTGTCCAACAGTCCAACCTCCCCTCCCATTCTGTACAAGCGGCAGACCATCTTGACAGCATCTTACCCAGGGGATCCTCCCTGGAACCTGGAGCCCATCCTAATGACAGAAACAAAGGACCTCAGCCCCAGAAAGACGCTGCCTCAGGCCCCATGGCTGGCAAACCATTCCGCCCCCAGTCTTTATCCAAATACTCCCGTCACTATAGCCCAGAAGATGAGCCAAGTCCAGAAGCCCAGCCCATTGCTGCCTACAAAATCGTTTCGCAAACCAACAAGCAGTCCATAGCTGGCTCTGTTGCCATCACATCCCTTTCCTCCAGGACTATGGAGCTGCCTGCTGCTGATCCTTTTGCCTTAGCACCCTTTCCTTCAAAGTCAGGCAAGCAGAAGCCTTAGGAGCAATACCTGAGCCTTAGGCCTCTGTCTGCCCCACCCTCAATTTCCCACCACCCCACTCCCAGCGGAGCCTTCCTCAGAAGAAATACATCAGTTATTATCAGTTACTGTCTTTCATCTCCACGGGTCAGAGCAGAACTTCAGTCAACAAACTCAGTAGCAGTGATACTGAGTCAAAACCCCTTTTAAGTTATGCCAATTTCTTTGGTTTATCTCGATTTCTGGACTTTCAGGCATCTCCACCTCTACCCAGAACTCTGCTTTTTTGGAATACTTCACCCCCACCCCAAAGGGGCCATAGTGTTGTTAGTTTTAATTCCTGCAGACGTGGTTGGAGTCATTGAGGAGTCAAGATTAGTCCTTCCAGGACTCGATGTAATAACTCTTTGAAAAGGAGATATTTCTGGAAAGAAATGCAAGATGAAAATCCTGCACATCCATAGGAAGTGGAATCCTGCAGATGCTCATCATTCCTGTAAAACCAGCAGCCCTAGAAGGATTCTCTGCACCTGTTTGAGTCTGCGCCAGCCAGGCTGGCCCTCGTGCATGCGTGTCTGTGCGTGTTTCACGTGTGTCTGACCTTTCCCTATGTAGAAATGCAAACAGGTGGGATATGTGTGCTCATGTCCCGTAGCGTTGAGCCTTCCCCATGTCCACGCCACTTTTTAGATTAGTGTGAGTGCACAGGTTTGGGTGTGGCGTGTGTGTGCACAGGAAGCATTTTTCCTTTAGGATAATCCTGTCCCAGCATGCCTACCTCCACTGTCACTCATTTAGTGGCATTTGTCTCCTGAACTAACTGACTTGAACCCGATTTTATTTAGTTCTTTTATCATGGCAAAATTGAATTCATTGGAAGGTGTAGGAAAACCTGCTGAAACTACGGTTTCTGAATAGATGTATTTTTCTCCAGAATCCGCTATTTGTAGTTAACAAATTCCATTTACCTGTTCATGAGAATTTATCCTTATACATTTACCACTCAGAACAATAGGAAAGAGCACCTTGTTAGAGTTCCAACCACTGGGTATGTGGTCTTTTAAAGACCTCAGGGTCTGAACACTCCATGCTGTCATTATGGAATTCGTTAATCATAAGACTAGGCTTACAAGCTAGGATTGCTTGCTTGTTCGATTATTTGTTCCAAATCCTTGCCATCTTTCTCTACTGTCTCTTGAGGAAATAGAAATCTGATACGTGTAAGTAAGTTTGTCTGGGAAAATGGAAAAGTGCTGAATCAGTTAGCCATGAAAACCTTTCAGTTCTCTCTCCCCATTAAATGTTGAAGTAAGCCATAGCTAGATGACTGACTTGTGTTGTTGAAATGTCTTCTCTTTCTGGAACTATCCGACTCATTTCCTAGCTGTTTTCATACCTTTATTATTAGTGCCTTAAAAGGAAATGTATGTCCCAATGGGAAGACTTCGGAGGAAATTCAACTTAATGGAAAGAGTTGCTACACCATGTTTCAAGTTGAAAGCTTCCTGGGATTTTAGTAAATGTTAGTGATTTTTTTTTTCCCATTAGCTGGAGAAATTGAGAGAGTTGCTTACCAAACCAGATAAATGATTTAAGAATTCCTGGAAATTCATCCAAGAATCAAGTCTGAATGCCAAACTCTGTTGCAGTTGATGAGGTGTGATAGTCTTTAAATTTGAAGTTCAGGGATCTTGGCAGTAAAATATGAACAGCTGCTTCAAGACTTTTTCTAGTTTTGTTTTGTCTCTACCTATTTCAAATGTCCAGGTTAAAAGATAAACAATTGGCACTGAATTGGGCCACCAGCAATGGTGTTCCAACTGAGTTTCTATCGTGCCAGAAACAAATGTCTTTCACTTTGTTAAATGCTAAATGTTTATTCTAAGAATTTGCTTTCTCTCAGTGGTCATTTCTGATTTTTCTATGTAGCAGTGTATGGAAAATTATCTTTCCAGTTGAGTGAATAGTTTTGGCTAATGCTATGGCACCCCAAACTCTTCCTTTCGTCATTATCAATTAAAGCCCTCAAAGGCAGGAGCTAAGAGGCTAGGAATATTCAGGGAGTGTTCTCACCCCAAATCAGAAACTCTGAAAAAGTGGAAGGTCATTCTGATTCACTCTTCCAAATATTCAGGATTACCTCTACAACAGCCTTGCAAAATGTCTGTCTTTTGGTTCTTTGATCACTCCCTCCTAGTCAAGCAGCCATTTTAGTTCTCAAGATAAAATCAATAAAATCATGGTGATTTTTATTATGTAATTGAATCATTTGTCAAGCATGGGCTTGTAATCTGTTTTTTTATTCTCACTGGAAACCTATGATGGTTGGAGACTCTAAATACCTACTTTGAATAGGAAATGAATATAAACACACACAGATTACTTTTGTATTCTTAGTGATAACATGAAATTTTTTTGACTATTGGAGTATATTATTAGCTAGTAGCTAGTGACTTCTTCAGTGATCTTCTTTTGATCATATAGGGTACATGTATTATTCAAAGATAAAATGTACTTGCCAGAGGCCATCCTGAATCTGGAAATCTGGAAAATTTAGTTTTAAGGGAATCAGGAGTGCTCAGGGTGCTTTGATTTAGTTGTAAATGCATGTTTCCAACAAGTGTACTGCAATAGGATAAAATTAAAGAGAAAAAGAAAATATAGAGTCAACAAAATACTGCATTTCTTGTTTTAGTTTGTTTTATGTGTTATTTGCTTTACACATTTGATAGGGAATGCGGGACCTTGTGACTTTTCATTTCAGTGGAGCACAATGAGCCAGAATATATTTAGAATAAAGCATTGCATCGCATCCTACACTGATGAACTCGTAAAGAATCCACATTAATTGACTAACAGGCACTATTGAATTAATGAATTGCCTTATATGTGGTGAAAAATATTTAACATCTGCTTCTTGGGCTCACATTCAGCCCGTTAGCTCCAAATCCTTGTTAGATTGGAAAATGGAACGAACAAAATTTGATGCTGAAGCAGAGGCTTGCCAGGACTTAAGGGAAACTTTAGTTTGGGCCCACTCATTGTTGAGTTGCAAATTTCATACGTGTAGACTAGTGAGTATGTGTTTATGTGCCCATATTAGCTATGAGTTTCTTTTGGCAACCAAGAATTCTTTTAAACTTCCAGGAAAAATACCAGTATCATATTGACCCATTATTTATTAAGTTTTAGAATACATGTGTATCAGTGTTTTTAGCTGTTTGGTGGACATTTCACGCATGAAGTAGCAGGTTTTAGTTTTATTTAAAGTAAATGTAACCACCAGAGTGATCTGACAATAGAAATTGAATTATGCTGTACTTGATTCCATAAAGAAAAGTCATCAACACATAGATCCTAGTTTATGTATGTATTATATATAATAGGAAACTTTATCATATAGGAAACGAGAGAAGGGGAGCAGGAAGTATACCATGTAAAATGGAGTCACTTAGGTCCCTTTCATAAATATGTTATTCTCTGCTATGTCTTTGGAATTGAAATTGGAGAACATAAGCCAGTCAACTGTGGAATGGCTGCTGGTCACACAGAAGCAGTTTTTGAGAAAACTGCTAATTTTTTGAGAAATATGGAACCCAGATTATTTTGATGCAAGATACTCAGGAGAGCCGCTGAGAGAACCACACTCCTAAGGAGACAGGCACACCTGTAAGCGTTGCAACCACCCCTGAGTTCTAATCCTCCAATCCTGCCCAATGGAGTAAACATGAAGGTTTTAAATGAAATCATGTAATTTAAATTCTTAGTTTTTCCAATGCCTTTGTCAACTATGACTTGTTTGTTTTTTGGTTGTTCTTTTTTGCTTTTAACCACCAGAACACTTGCAAACTTGTGACTTGTGAAGTTCACTTAAGGAGGGATTTCAAAATGCTTGAAAATAAAAAGTATCTGGTTGGGAATTGTTTTCGTGTCCTTTTGCTACAAAATAAATTGGCTAGGTTGCTGAAACCAAGCTGGCTCAGCTTAGATGGAATCTACACTGGCAGTGTCTTGATTCCCAGAATGCCACCTTGCTCTCTAAGACTTCCTGGTCCCACCTGCCTCATTTGCACCTTGACTTTTATTAGAAAATAGGCCTCTCGTGTGTGGTGCCCAAGGTCCCATCATTAAAACACTGCCAGACATAGCTCTTTCCTGCTCTTTATCCACCCCTGCAAGTCTTCCTGGCTCATCTTTCTTGTTCCTGATCCCACCTCACTTCCTTACACGACATGCCCCTATTATGACCATACCAGTAAGTGGATGATGAGAGGTGTGATTGAATGATCATGTTAATTTTTATTTGCCTCTGGTTTTACTGTAAACAGTTTCTTCTTAAATTTTAGCCTCGCCTGTGATAATCTCACCACACTGGAATAATTCAAAATAAGAATGAAATGGCTTACCTCCCCCGTTTCTTATGGACTAGAAGAAAGGATGAAGGAAGGGTCGCAGAACCCCAGCCTTGCTCTGGAAACATAACCCAAAGGCATCTCTTCACCTTGATGTAACAGAGGCCCAGAGTGCCCTAGAATACAGGGGCAAGTGTATATGTGAAGGGACTCTAGAATAGCTCGTAAAAATGACCATGTTAACCGGCACACTGGTGGCTTCATCCAGTATTCCCATAACTTGTAAATTACATTAGAAATTTAGCCTGAGCTGCTTCCCAGCAATCTCAATATGTGTGACACTGTTTTGAGTTGATAGTAAGAATGTTTTGTTCTTGAAATCAAGTAAATGAAATCGGCATTGCATTATAATAGAACCGTATATGCACTTTAAAGGGATCTATTTGATTCCTTTTGGTAAAAATTGCAGAAATGGTTTTTCCCAATGTTAAAGAGACTTTGGTAGTAAAAGATGATGTAGCCTTTCCACTCTGAAATGGCAAGTCAGTTGTACTCTTGAGTCTACCAAAGACTCCTGTTTGGGGAGTGTGAATGGAGAGAGAGAGAGAGAGAGAGTGTGTGTGTGTGTGTGTGTGTGTGTGTGTGTGTGTGTGTGTGATGTTTTCTGCCATGATGTGAACTTGAGACCTCCTAATAAAGGCATCCAAAGAATACCAAAGGTGACAGTCGGTAGTTGGCAGGAGTAAATTTGGTTCCCTTTGCCAACAGCTCTCTGAGTAAGAACTAGAGTTCTAGATAAAGGTGGGGGGAAATCAGCCATTGCCTTAGCCTCATTTCCACAGTAAGTATGCTCTTCTCATCCACAAGGATGAAACTCATTATGGTTTGTCCTGAATTCTTGGCTCATGTATAGTGTTGGAAGGGCAGTAGTGACCAGAACACAAGGACTGCCAGATGTTACTTTGAAAGAGTGAAAGTGTAATGTCATTTTTTAGGGATGGAAACCAAATACAGGCCAAGGACCATGCTCATTCCCTGGAGAAGAGGTGAACTCCCTCTGCTGATTGTATTTTGAGTTGACCAAAGGAGGAGGTCAACCTAGCTGTAAGGAGCATTGAGGTCATTGGACCTCAGAGAACAATATGTGCATGCAATCTCAAGGGCTGTGAACAGGGGGAAGGAAGGGAAAAGGACACTTATAAAGTCAATCTTAACAGTTTTTGCAATACCTCTGATTTGCAGACTATTGGATTTATGTTACTGCACTCTTCGTGTGATCTATTTTATGTACCTGATAGTTTTTATGAATAATAATGTTTGAGTTGTAAACTCCTATACACTTTATTAAAATGGACCTAATTAAAATAAATGATTTACACTTTGTTTTATTTCTTATGTCAGATCTTCCTAGGAGTTTTAAGTTTCAAAGAACAACTTTCCGTTGGTTGGTTGCTTGGTTGCTTTCCAGTGCTGTCATTGATATTTCCTGAGACCTGCTTTCTATTCCAGATGTTATGTGAAGACATAAATGAAATAATACAAGATAATAGGGCCATAAAGACAGCTGGGAAACCCACAGAGCACCCTGCTATGCAAACTTTCCTATGAGCTTCTAATGTATCTGTTATTGAATGTGAGCTGAATCAATATGAGATATAGATAGATAGATAGATAGATAGATAGATAGATAGATAGATAGATAGATAGATATCCCTGAAGAGAGACCAGCATTAACATAAAAAACTAAAGACAGAAGTCTTGGGGGGAAATGGATTATATACTGTGAGGAAGAACCTGCCTGCCTGTTTCCTCTCCAAATTTGAGAAAATAGAGTAATATTTGAACTTTAATGAACTTGACATCCATGATTCACGGAGAACTGGTGATGGGCTGAGTTCAGAGAGATGGTATTCAAAGAAGATCTATGGATCCAAAGAGTTCTGGCATACTATGCATGAGTGAAACTAAAGTTGCCTACTTTTTCTGAAGATTTATTGAAGATTTGATTGAACTATATTTTTATAAATATATGCCCACCTAGTTCTATAATGTGAAGTTCTTATACTTTTTCTATTTCAAGTTATTAACCAAAAGTAAAGTCTTCCTTATCTGTGACTTAGGCTACCCTGGTCACAGGGTTACATCACTCCCACTGAGATGCAGGAGTCAAATCCTTCTGCAAAGGTGGACAGAGCTCACCTGTCTCAGTCCTGCCTTTCTTGTAGGGAAAGCCGGAGGTGGAGGCCCCATCTCCCACAGGGTGAGCTCCTTTGCATTCTCCCTTTTTTGCCAGCCCTGAGACCGTTTGGTAAGAGACCAGTCAGGGTGGAGGTGCCCTTAAATTGCCCCCTAATTGAGAACCCAGTGGGAGGAACCAGGGTGAGACCCAGGAAAAAGCCATGAGCAGATGATTTTGACCTGTTTCTCTGGATTTGGAGACAAAGATCTTTTCCCCTTATGTATTTTTCCTTGCGTTTATCTTTCCTTCTATTGGAGCAGTAAGATCTAGATGGCTTAAGTTAGCATGTCACCTTACCTGGAAGGAGACCCAAGTAATTCTTCAACTTGCTTTTACGTAAGCTTAGCCTAGAGGCCCACAAGGAATCAAAGTATTCCCTTCAGAAGGCAACCCAGTTTTCCAGTGCTGAAGTTTTGGGACCATGATAATTGCTAAATATGGAATTCCTAGAGTCAGATATGATGAAATTAGTAGTGTTACCAACTATCCTGTCTCATTCTGTTTTTGAACAGGACCTTCTGATTCCAAGGACATACTTTTGTTTTCACTCTTTAGAGAAACCTTAGGTTATCTGAGGGGAATTGATCACAGTTTTCTCATAGACTAACCAAAAATTAAACATAATCTACCTATCAGCCTTTATTCAGTTAGTTTATAATGAATATTACCAATAGAAATAAGTTCAAGTAAAATTCAAAACTGCACATGGTTAAAAATTGAACAATGAAATCTTGACGAGGACAGCCGGTTAGCTCAGTTGGTTAGAGCACAGTGTTCATAACACCAAGGTTGCCGGTTCGATCCCCACATGGGCCACTGAGTTGCACTCTCCACAACTAGATTGAAACAACTACTTGACTTGGAGCTGATGGGTCGTGGAAAAACACACTGTTCCCCAATAAAATTAAAAAACAATAAAATTTAAATTAAAAATTTGACTTGGGAAATTTGAATTTAGCAGGTACAGTGGGCACAAGAGAACTTAGTAGCAAAAGATACCATTAGTAAAATTTGAAATGAACAAAAATTTGATGAATAAATAAATCTGTATTGTAAATATATATAAAGACTGGATCCCAATGAAAATATTACCAAAAAAAATGGGAATGCATTGCCTAGTAAATTGATCCAAAAGTTAAATTCACTTAATGGAATTTCTTCATGAAAATTCATCAATATTAGTCCAGTTAAAATACCTATATTCAAAAATATTGGGTGAGATAGCCACAGTGTTTTGAAATGCCCTGTGCCTGCTCATGGGCTTGCATAGTGATGTCCAGATGGCCATTAGCTGGGTGGATCAGGAGAGAAGTCTTGATTGCTGACAGAGGGAAATCATCAGTGAGTGGTATTCAGGTTTTTTTAAAAGATTTTATTGGGTAATTGAGGGAGGGGAACAGCTTTGGGGAATCGGGGAAGGGGAACAGACAAGTTGCTGTCCTTTTGTTCTTCAGTCTAAGTGGAGGATGTTGCTTCACTGGCTCAAGTTGGCACTATCATTGCGCTCTTCCCAGGCGAGGCAGATCAGTCACTGGCTTCTGGACAGCCGCTCACGGCAGCTGCTGGCCGCTTACGCTGGCTGCTGGCTACACACGGTAGTCCATGGCAGCCCAGCTCCAGGTAGAGCTGTTGTTCAGCATCTTAGCTGTAGAGGGCAGTGTCACTGGCCCTCATATGTGGGATCTGAACCGGGGCCCTCTGGCTTCCCAAGACAGTTCTTAACCACTGCGCCACTCGCTGGCCTGGTGTGGGCTTCTTTAAGTTCATCTTGCTTGGGACTCTGTGCTTTCTGGGTTTTATGTCTATTTCCTTCACCAGGTTAGGGAAGTTTTCCATCATTATTTCTTCAAATAGTTTTCAATTCCTTGTTCTCTCTCTTCTCCTTCTGGTACCCCTATGATGCGAATGTTGGTATGCTTGATGTTTTCCCAGAGGCTCCTTAGAGTATCCTCATTTTTTAAATTCTTTTTTCTTTTTGCTGTTCTGATTTGGCTTTTTCTGCTACCTTATCTTCTAAATTGCTGATTCAATCTGGTGATTTTTTCTCTTTTTAAAATAAACAGCCTTATCCATGTCTTATTATATCTAACTTGCATCCCAATATTATTGATGTGAATGTTTTTTCCCCTCCAGTTCTCTTACTAATAACATCACTGAACAAATGTTTAGATGGAATTTTTTTAGGACAGAAAAGGAGAATTATTACACTATAGTATCAGTGAATTAAAAAAAAAAAGTTGTGGGCCGGCCGAGTGGTGCGTTGGTTAAGAACTGGCTTGGGACGCCAGAGGGCCCCGGTTCGGATCCCACATATGAGGGCCAGTGACACTGCCCTCTACAGCTAAGATGCTGAACAACAGCTTGACCTGGAGCTGGGCTGCCATCAGTCACCAGCGACTGCAAGTGGGTTGCCATGGGCTACCGTGTGTAGCCAGCAGCCAGAGTGAGCGGCCAGCAGCTGCCGTGAGCGGCCATCCAGAAGCCGGTGACTGATCTGCCTCGCCAAGGAAGAGCGCAATGATGGTGCCAACTTGGGCCAGTGACGCAACATCCTCCACAACTAGACTGAAGAACAAAAGGACAGCAAGTTGTCTGTTCCCCTTCCCCCAATTTCCCAATAAAAATCTTTAAAAAAAAAAAAAGTTGTTTCTGTGATAGGCTGAACAATGCCTCCCCGCTCCTCTAATATATCCATGTCCTAATCACCAGCACCTGTGAATGATACCTTATATGAAAAGGAATTTAGCAGGTGTGATTAAATTAAGGATATTGCCATGGGGAGATGATCCTGGATTATCCAGGAGGTCCTAACATAATCACAGCATCCTTTAAGAGAGATGAAGGAGAAGTCAGAGAAAAAGGCAATGTGATGACAGAAGCAAAGATTCGAGTGATACTTTGAAGATGGAGGAAGCCAAGGAATACAGGTAGCCACTAGACTAGAAGGTATAAAACATAAGGAAACAGATTCTCCCTTTAGAGCCTCTAGAACAGCGGTTCTCAACCTTCCTAATGCTGTGACCCCTTAATACAGGTCCTCATGTTGTGGTGACCCCAACCATAAAATTATTTTCGTTGCTACTCTGTAATTGTAATTTTGCTACTGTTATGAATCGTAATGTAAGTATCTTTTTGCTTTCCGATGGTCTTAGGCGACCCCTGTGAAAGGATTGTTCGAACCGCGAAGTGGTCGCAACCCACAGGTTGAGAACCGCTGCTCTGGAAGGACAAAGCTTGCTGACAGCTTGACTTTAGCCCAGTGAAAATGATTTTAAACTTCAGATATCCAGACTGTAAGAGAATAAATTCGCTGTTTTAAGCCACTCAGTTTGCAATAATTTGTTATAGCAGCAATAGGAAACTAATCCAGTCTCTAAAATTACTCTCTAAAGTTCTAAGATAACTCTTTTATGCCATTTGACTTGGAATAAAAGACTTGGAAGGGGATTTGGAGCAAAGCAGGATTTTTCTCATGGGAAGGAATCTGTAAGAGAGAGAGAAGTTGAAGATAGAAAGATCATTCCCTGTCTTGGGCCTGTTATTGGGTAGAAGAGAATAAGAGGAAAAGCCTTGGATGGCACTGAGGTGTAGAATGGGTCATGGAAGAGAGACAGGGTTGGAAGCCAAAGGGTTACAACCTTGAGAATGTAAACTGTACTCAGAGGAAGCAGAGCCAGCTCACAGTGTCCAGGTCCAGGCCAGCTGCAAGTCCAAAGCCCCACCTACCCACCCTCTCTGATGCTTCACCAACCATATAAACCACCAGGTTTGTCTTGGGTGTGCCCTCAACCTGTCCAACAACAGGTGTGTCGTTTCTGTTCCAGAAGCCAGTACTCTGTGTATATCTTCTAGAGCAGTGGTTCTCAAACTTTAGCCTGCATCAGAATCATTTGGAGAGCTTGTGAAAACAATTACTGAACCACGCCTTCAGAGACTGTGATTCAGTAGGCATAAGGTGGGGCCTGATAACTGCATCTCCAACATGTTTCCATGCTGTTGCTGCACCCAGTCCAAACTCTGAGAACCTGCTGTCCTATAGAAAGCCAAATACCCCTGTAAGGTTTTGGAAGAGTACTTAATGGGCTCTATACTTTGGAAACTAGTCAATACTCATACTTATGCAACAAAGGGCAG